TGATCAAAACTAGCATGATATTCGTGATCAGCACCCCGAAAAACCTATAGCAGCATACTTAAAGGAAAAGGGTCACTTTAACATGGGGTTTGAAACTGAGATTAGCCATCTCGTAGCCCGTGTCCGAAAACCCCGAGAGTCTGCCTCCTTACGGCGATTTCGGCCTCCATTCGTAGGCATAAGCAATTTTTAAAGAAAATATGCCAGGAATGCGTTCTTATCCTGTAATACAGCCACCCGCGGCGAGGCTTTGGTTTTTAACCAATCAGCTCCAATCAGCTCAACTTTCAAGCTAATCTGACACAATCCGACGAGTCTGTCTTCTCAAGGCTGATTGACTTGAGTGTGACGTCATCGCTATGACATCATACAGAAGGTGCGATAGAGTACAAACATACTATGCACTTCTCGCACCAAATTTAAAAAGAAAATGAAAAATAATAATGTCAAAATGAAAAGCAACGATATCTTCATAGTTCATATTTTACGAAGGTGGCACTTCACCTGTAACGACGTTCCAACTAACAGGTCCCAATTTTCCCGAATTTTGGGTCATTGGTTGACCTTCCTTTGGGTCATTGACCTGACCTGGAAGGTCAACCAATGACCTAGGGCGTTTTAATTGTGTATCATCGGTTACCTCTCGTCACGGGCAACACGCTCGTTTTTCCCGCGAAGCTCGACCAGGGACGAAACGGCAAGGGGTCCAATGGACCCCCCCCCCCCTTTACGTTTGCGGCTGGCAAAACACCAATGCGGGCGAGAGATAAGGACTTACATCAGTAAGTTTAACTTCTTTTGTTTTTATTGTTTTTTATATTTTTTCATGCATAAGTGCATGACTTTTCTTCCATATTTGAAAAAAGTTTATGCTGCAGAATGTACTTCATTGATAACAAAACGTAATATTTCAGCCACTTGTCCTTTTCAAACGCATATAGGTCTGCTTGAGATATGCATACGTGGCACGTGCACCAGATGGTTCCCGTAGGAGACCCATACCAGAACCTAGATCACCTGGCCCACGAGAAACCCTAAAAAAAATTAGAATTTTGAAGCTGCCGTTTCCTTTGGTATCAATTTTTACTGATCTTAGGCAGCTTTGGCAAGATTGTCAGGGTACTCAGACTTGTTTTACAATAGAAAAACAATTCGAATAATTTTAACATTGTTAACAAACCTTCGGCTACGTGCATATCTCTTTTAAGCATACCTATGTGCGTTTGAAAAAGGTCAGTAGCTGAAATATTACGTGTTGTGAACAATTAAGCACATTTTGCGCCGACAACTCTTATTTCGAATTTCGTAGAAACGTCATGCATTTCACACGCATGTATGTACCCCCAAATCTGGTTTTCTCACCGGTTTTAGGTCACTTTTTCTTTGTCATGGACAAAAACTGAAGCAAACGCTTTTAGGTGGTGAAAAAAATAATGGTAGTATGTCCTCTCCGGTGTGACTGTGCAGGGCGCTGTGTGACATGGCCCACTGACCTGCCCACCCCAGGGACGGACTCAGTCGTTGCGGCGTTGTTATGAACAGAACACATGCTCTCCATCATACTTTCAGGCGGAAATAAATTTATCATACAGGTCTACCCCTTGCATACGGCAATCCCTCGTGTCATCGCTTGTTGTACTTTGGCACTCAGCCTCCGCCTTACTAAGTTAGACACTCCGCACGCCGTCAAAAATAATTCATTTAGTCCTTTTCTGCACCCGACACCCGTTATTTATTTCAATCTGAGGGTCACAAGATCCAAGGACCAGTGAGGAACGTTAAGGAACAGGTCGCATGGACAAGTAGCAGCTGACTCAGCAGTCAGCACCTCATCAGGAGTCCCGGCCCGCTCCTCTGACCTCCAGCCACCTGTTCACCACCTGCCGAAGGCGTTCACTCTTTGGGCGGTCTGAGCTGCGAACTCGCGCATTTCTCTCTCGATGTCCAGCGCGTCCACCTTTTCAGGGTAGCTGGCCTGCACGGCCGCCTGACTGAGTCACTCCTGGCTGATGGTAGAGCGAAGCCAGTTTTTTTTTAGGCGCCGCAGCACACTAAAGCTGCGCTCTGCCGTGCACAATGTCGCTGGAGCCGTCAGCAGTAGCTTGACGAGTGTCACGCAGTCAGGCAGGAGTGTGCGGATGCTGGCGTCCTGCAGCGCGCTGACATCAGAGAGCGAGCGTAGCGCGATGCCGCGCTGCTTGCAGATGTCCCGGAGCATCTGCACGTGCAGACAGGTCCGTTCTCGTTCTCCCAAACCGAATGAAGCGGCTGCCCGTGCGATATCGGCCGCGTCGCCCGTCAGGAGCGCCCTCTCCGCCACGACCAGTAGCTGCTGGTCGCCGTGGGCATAGCGAGACTCGATGGACGCCAAGAGCCTGTCCAAGGTCTCGTAGTAGACCCGTCGGCATGCGTCACGGGGCGTGGCCGGGTGAGCGGGAGGCGCACCGTCGTCCAGGCGGCGGGGAGGTCGACTCTGTCGGATGCTCCTCGGGTCGTCTACGCCGAGCTCCTTCGCTCGATGGACAGTGGCGGCCAGGCGGACGCCAAAGAAGAACCTGAACTGGAGCATCAGGTGGGCGAAGCCATTGGCTGTGCTTGCCGTTGGCGGGCGGGTGGTGCGGTCACCCGCTATGGCCTGCAGACTGTCTACCAGAGCGGGATAGTTTTCGAGCACTGACGTTAGATAGGCCTCGCGATTGTCCACCTGTAGGATCTGTCCACCGAGTAGGACAGAGTGGACGGAGCGCCGTTTGAGCGCGTGCATCTTCCAGCGCCACTTGGCGCTTTCGTTCGTTCGTTGTTTGCGTCGGCCTGCCGCCGGAGGCGATATCGGCCGTGCTGGTGCTTTTCTCAAGTTGAGTACGCACACGGCGTTGCATTTTTTGTTGGCGTATCGCTCAGTCCGTTGTTTACAGGGGAGGGGGTGGGGGAAGGTATTATTTCTACACATTTTAACAGACAATATACAAGCACACACATACAAGATACAATCACACATTTTGTTTTCTTTCCATATTATTTTTTTATTTCTTTTTTAGGGCTTTTTCTGTTTCTTCTTTCTTTCTTTTTCTATTTTATTTTATTTTTTATATTTCTTTCTTTCTTTTGCCTCTTTTTTTAATACATTTTTTTTTGATACACGAGATATTCACAAGTCAGTCACATATCATTAGTCACATAGTCACATGTCAACCCAGCTAAGTCGTGACCGAACACAGATGGGTAGCCGCCTTCAGCGGGTAAAGGCAGGCAAGCTTACCAAACTTCGAGAGGGGCTGCATACTGGTGGGAACACTAAAGGCCACCGCACACTAGCCATTCGGTCGGTTCATTCGGCCGTTACAGCAGCGATTTTCTCGCGCGAGTCTTAATATCGGCCGAATGACCGAAATGCTTGGAGCCGAAATATCGTCGTTAACCCGCGCCCTGTTGGGGGTCCTGGATTTCCACGCCCTGCTGGGGGGGGGGGGGGGTGTTTGAACACCCCCCCCTTCTAACTCGGCTCCTGGGCCACGTAGCGATACGCGGAAGGCGGCGTTCGAAAGAGCGTCAAAAATAATGACGAAATCACTTCGGTCAATTTTTTGGTCAGGGCAAAGGTCAGGTCACCAGAGGTCATTGAAGGCAAAATTTCGCCGATTTCCAGGTCGAATGTCGAAAATTTCCAAGAAGCCAACGCATAACTCGGGAACCAATAGAGCTACAGCGCCGCGGAAAAGCGCATTCGATAGCCCTATTAACGCCCTTTCTGAGTAATTCTCTCAGATTTGACCTAACGTCAACGGTTTTGCCTGCAGGGGGCAAAAACTGCAAAAATAGCAGATTTTTTCGAAAACAGTTTTTCTGCAATAACTTTTGACCCAAGCCTTGTGCGAGCTTATTTTTACCGCCATCGTGTTCCTCTCGTCAAGACGCATCGAATGAACTATAACTTGACCTTGAAGGGTCAACTTGAAAATTTGACCTCAGGTCAAGGTCATGACCTGACCGGAAAGGGTCATGTTGCATATCAGTCGATCCGTATCGTCGAGCTGAACACATCTAAGGCGTTTTCATCGCTCTAGAATGCCTCTATCAAAAGTTATTTGCGAAAAAACTGTTAGATACCATTCGTGACCTGAGATGACCTCAGGGCATAAACAAGGGTCACGGACACCATTTTCAAGTTCAGTGTGTCTAAAACACTTGTAATTCGGTGTTTGGGAGTGTTTATAATGTCTTTCATCCAAAAGAGGCTCATTTAAATTTTCTCCCATTGACTTATAATGGGGAGGTCGCAAAATTGACCTGACCTTAGGTCATCGATATCAAAATTCTGAGATATACATTTTGTACATGCTATTGCCCTTAGCAATCGCTGAAAGTTTCAAAGCGATCGGTCACTCGGTGTAGCTATGACAGACATTGAAAGTTTTTATGAGGTGAGGTCACTTCAAGTGACCTGGTGACCTGACCTTGAATGACCTTGGTCTGAAATTTTCACAACATGTGTAGAATTGATGTATGATAAGGTGTACCAAAAACGGCGGCGCTCCGCGCCGCCGTTTTTGAGATATTCGCGAAAAACCACAAGGGGGGGTGTTCAAACACCTTCCCCCCAGCAGGGCGCGGGTTAAAATATCGCCTGAAATGTTGTAACCGAATTCCAAGAGCGGAAATAATAAATATTTGTATAATTTATCTTGAAAAAGACTGAATGTAATCCAGCCTTTCAATAATAGACTTATGGAGATTTTCAAACGGGTGGTAAAACTGAATTAATTGCATAGGTAGAAAGGAAAAGAAATAGTTAGGTTAGTAGCATATTGAATTATTTGATAATGAAAATAAGAAGGCATTCAAATGCAAACAAACATTGCTCAAAGTGCTCTGACGTCTGAGATACTTTGATCCATGACTCCGTCATACTGCAAATAGTTAATAATAACCAACATTACGTGAAAGTACGTGCACTATCTTGGTGCTTTAAAGTCATAAGTAACACCTAGTACGGCGTAGGCATGGATTCTGACCCACCCAACAACCCCTACGCACTCCAACTGGCCACCGCGTCACTGCGCCTCAAGCTGGCACTGAAGAGGGCAGAGGAGCAACGCAGGCGCCGCAGAGATAGTCGCCATCCCCAAGAAGGGCAAGTCGCCGGCCCTCCCAAGCAGCTACCGGCCAATCAGCCTCCTCAACACCATCAGCAAGCTCGCCGAGAGACTGGTGCAGAACCGGCTCCAACACTGGCTGGAGCGACACAAGAAGCTGAACCCGAACCAGGCCGGCTTCCGCAAGGGACACAGCACGATCGACCAGCTCTTCCGAGTCACCCAATCGATCTTCGACGCCTTCGAACAACCGAAGCACCATCGCGCCATCCTAGTCTTGCTAGACTTCGCCAAGGCCTACGATCGTGTATGGCGGGACGGCCTGTTCCACAAGATGGAGAAGATGGGCATCCCTGGCTGCGCCACGCGGTGGGTGAAGGCCCTGCTCACGGACAGGCGTGCTCGTGTCAGGTGGGGAAACGCCCGCTCATCACAGCGCGTCTTCCAAGAGGGCCTCCCGCAGGGCAGCGTGATGGCGCCGCTACTGTGGCTGATCTATTGCAATGACCTCGATGAAGACATCAACTCCAACACCACCCGCTCTCTCTACGCGGACGATACCGCCCTCCTGGCTACTGGACCTTCGCTGCAGGCGTGCGCCGACCAGCTACAACCGGATCTGGACCAAGTCGCCCGCTGGCTGGACAAGTGGAAGGTCGAGGCCAGCCCAAGCAAGTGCGTCTTCACCACCTTCTCGCTACACGCCAAGGAGGTCAACGGAAAGGTCGTCCCGACACTGACCTTCAAAGGCGACCAGCTCGCGCACGAGAAGAACCCGACCTTCCTGGGGCTGACCCTGGACAGCCAGCTCACTTTCACCAACCACATCGAGGAAGTGAAGAAGAGGATGGCACAGCGCCGACGCTGTCTGACAGCTCTGGCGGGCAGGTCATACGGCTGTGACCAAGCCACGCTGCGCGCGGCCTACATCGCGTACATCCGCAGCGTGGCCGACTACGGAGCTGCCCTCTACTCCACCCACGCTGCACCCTCCGTGCGGGCCCGGATCGAGGCAGAGCAGCACAAGTGCGCCAGAGTGATCACTGGCTGCATCCGCCTCACAAACTCGGAGACCCTCATCACCGAGGCCGGCCTGCCACCACTCGCAGTGAGAGGCTGGGAAATAGCAGCAATGGAGCAGGAGCGACTCGCCAGACTGCCGCCAGGAGACCCCGCCAGAGCCCTCACCGAGCGACACGTCCGCCCACGCCTCAAGCACAGGGCTCATGAGGCCTGGCAGCGAGCGCGCACTGAGGCCAGAAGACGCGGCGAACCGCCGCCGGACCCCCCGAGCGAGGACACGGCGCTGCCCTTCAAACCGTGCTTCCGGCGGGTCAGTCAGTGGATGGCCAAGGAGGCGGGTCTAGCGGACCTCCCACGGGAACCGCTGGCCCTGGTCCCGGAACAGCCGCCGTGGACCAACCCAGCAGACGCGGTCACCTTCCGCCTCTCCCTCCCGCGCGCCACCAGAAGAGACGACCCACCCGCCGTGAGGAAAGCTGCCGCCCTCGAGGCCATAGCCATGGTCAATCCGGACTGCACCATCTGGTCCGACGGCTCCGCCAAGTCCGGCACCAGGGACGGAGGCGGCGGTGCGCTGATCCAGCTGCACCGGGAGAACCGCGAAGTGGAGACATTGGTACCGGCGGGCTCGGTCTGCAGCAGCATGCGGGCCGAACTCGCAGCGATGTTGGCGGCGTTCACCTGCCTGCTGGCACAACCGGGGGAGACCAGGAGCCGCATCAAGACATGCCTGCTGTGCACCGACTCCCTCTCCGGCCTTCAGCTACTCCAGCGCGGACCGGAGGCCCAGCAGCTGGTCCTCGCCGAGCGCGTCTGGGCCGCGATGGGCTCACTGGGGGAACAGAACACGGCCATCATCCTCCAGTGGGTCCCAGGCCATGCCGACATCGCCGGCAACGAGGCGGCAGACAGGCTGGCTAACCGTGCGGCGGCCGAGTGTGCCCAATCGGAGACGCCCATCGATCTGGCCAGCGCCCGAACCGCCATACGGCAGCGCGCCAGGGAAATGCAGGCCACGCGTGCACACCGGCACCCGCACCCCCAGCCCACACCTGGACTCCAAGACCTCCCGCGCTGGGGGCAAGTGACCGTGTCGCAGCTGCGGACCGGCCACTGCCCCCTGGCACGAGCGACGCTCCACCGCCTGGAGCTCACCCCGGACCCTCTCTGCCGGGAGTGCGGTGCCGAGGACACCGTTCGCCACCTCCTCACCGAGTGCCCAGCATTCGCCACCACGAGACGCCGGCTCTGGGGGGGACCCCTGCCATCCCTCGACGAGGTCCTCTCCGGGCCGGCCGGCAAGATAGTTGAATACATTCGGCGGGTGAGGCGGTCCGAGCCGCCGCTCGACCAGCCCCCGTCCGACGCGCCTGCGGGCGCGTCCACGTGACGTGCGACGAAGAAGAAGAAGAAGAAGCAACGCAGGCCCCTGGCTCGGCGCAGGCTGTGGGTCAGCGACGTGCTGCAGCGCCGCGACGAGCTGGGCGAGTACGCCAATTTAGTGCAGGAGCTTCGGCTCAACGATCCCCAGCGACACCTCCAATACTTCAGACTCAACAAGGGGCCTTCGATCTGCTCCAAGCACGGATTGAAGACGAAATCACCCGGTCGACCACCACCTTCCGCCAGCCGGTCAGTGCACCGCAGCGCCTGGCGGTGACGCTCCGCTACCTGGCGTCGGGAGAGGAGTTCTCCGCTCTGGCGCCGAGCTAACGGCTCGGAGAGTCGACCACGCGCGCGGCGGTGTACACCTGTCGCGCCATCGTGGACGTCCTCGGTCCGGTGTACCTGCCGGAGCCGACGGAGATGTGGCGCGCCAGTGAGCGGGAGTTCCGGGAGCGGTGGCAGTTCCCCAACTGTGTTGCTGCCATCGACGGCAAGCACGTGACGATTCGTGCGCCTCCCAACTCTGGTAGCTAGTATTTCAACTACAAGCACCAGTTTTCGGTGGTGCTGATGACCGCCGTGGACGCCATGTATAACTTTGCGTTTGTCGCGGTAGGGAGTGCGGGGAGGGAGAGTGACGGCTTCCGGAGCCTCCGACTGGCGCAGCGACTGGCGGACGGGAGCCTCGGGCTGCCACAGCCTTCCCCACTACCGGGCGGCCGAGAGGCGCTTCCGCACGTGCTCGTCGGATACGAAGTGTTCCCCCTCCTGCCCAACCTGATGCGGCCTTATCCGGGACGGAGGGAAGGGCAGATGGGCGACCGCGGCCGCGTCTTCAACTACCGCCTATCCCGCGCGCGCCGTGTCTCCGAAAATGCCTTCGGAATCTTGGCCCAGACGTGGAGGCTGCTCCTCCATCCGCTGAACGTGGACCCAGAGCACGTCAAGCTGCTCGTTATGACGGTCGTCATCCTCCACAACTTCCGACGCAGCGAAGATGCGAAGCGCGTTGGGATGACGACCGAAAACGCCCCTGACGCAGTCGCACCGACCTCCGGGGCACACGATGTGCCAGCTCTGGCGAGAATGCCAAGCAGCAGCTCCCACAACCATACCAGGGCGGCAGAGCAAGTACGCGAAACGTTCTGCCACTACTTCAGCTCCGAGGGCGCTGTTCCGTGGCAGGTCGGCCTTTAAGCCCGTCGAACGAGTGACTGTGGCTAGCTGTAGTGCCTGCAGTCTGTAGTGTGCCTGTACCTAAAATCTTGACTTGAACATGTCTGTCGGTTTTTAAAGAGGGGAAATGGCGAAACCAACTGTGTTCACGAATGAAATACATGATACGGATTTGTGTTATATTACAATGTTTAAAATATTTGAGGTCAACGAAGATAGCAGGTATAACGAACGCTGGCATCGTTTGTACCTGAAAGCCCGATTGCCAGAGATTTCGATGGCGAGGATCGAAATCAAAACAACAACAATAAATAAAAACGATGCAACAGTTGTCAACTATAAGAACACGCAACAGCAATGTAAGCATAACAATGTCCGGCAAACATAGAGCATTATACAAACATACAAACATAGGGCATTATTCTTCTCACTGCCCCTACCCCAAACATGGTCCATCCCAACTCGCTAATTAATGCCGCCGCTCAGGACCAAATTGAAAAAAGCTTAAAGGTAGTGTGCCAGCTTTCCTGGACCGTATGGAGTTAATGGCCCAGATAAGGAGAACCGGATTTTTAGAACTTATCCATACCTTCAAAACTCATGGAAACGTCTTAAATTCTTCAAATTTTGAGTACCCCAGTGCGAAATTCGCCCCGACGGGTTGTCGGTCGTACCCCAACCACATTTCACACCACTATGAACAATAAATGCACACACTGAAATCGCTATTACCGATATGCTCATCCAATCAAGTTTCGATAAACCCGTTCATCATCATCTCCTGCGGTTTCGAACACGCCTGTTAGGTGGTGCGGTAGACCGCGCCCAAAGCCAGGGCCCCGGTAACGTGAGGTAGCCGAGTCGGGGCAGCGTGCGCTGACCCAAGCCGGGGCCGCGCGTCCTCCCGGTGTCATGTGATAGCCCGGGGGGATGCGGTAGACCGCGCCCAAAGCTGCGGCCCCGGCTTGGGTCAGCGCACGCTGCACCGACTCGGCTACCTCACGTTACCGGGGCCCTGGCTTTGGGCGCGGCTTCTGCTCATACTTTGTGGTGCGGTGGTGGTGCGTCGGGCCGCGCGCTCTGACTTCGGCCAAGAAAAATGCGTCAGCTGATCATTGTCATTTCTGCCACTTGCGTGTGGTGAAATGGGGTCATAACTTAAGAGACGGCTTTTTCATATCAATTATTATACATGAAATCATATTTCAAACCATAAATAATGTTCGACAGCCAAATAAAAGAAACAATACCAATACAGGCTTACAGTTTAAGGCTCGACATTGTGTTGTCTACGATTAGACAGCTGATAACTCATTCCCGTACGTCGTAACTCTATAATGACCTTTGCTTATTGTCACATGTGCGCCGCATTCGCGATTGTTGCCGACGCCTGTTTGCAGCTCAGCCCACTACAGTTGTTATACATATCGAAAAACCGATAAACTTTTAGGCGAAAAGGCACTATTCCAGGCCCATTTTTGATTTTTTTTTGGCGATATTAGGTAAAAACAGAAGCTTCTTATCCTAGGAAAAATAAAATGGGAAATCTTTCAAAGGTGGCACACTACCTTTAACACGCGCAGATTACTATTGCCCGTTGTCATGGTGTCAGTGACAAAAAATGTAAAATATCGGAGGAGGAAATTAAATGTGTAAATTGCGGTCAACAGTAAGAGTCATCACACACTCACTTTACAAACAAGCCATGTAATAATGCTCGTTGAGGTCTTCGCAGAGGTCGACAAAATTCATGGAGTTTCTCCGACTACCGGCCAATTTTCTCCAGTCTTTTCTTCGACGATTGTGAGAAATGATGAATTTTGATACCTATCCACTACGCTAGTACGCAACCCAAAACACTGGTAGAGGTATACGGCACTCGGCAGTCATACACAAATGACAGAAGTCTCATGAGTCGGAACATGTATACTCTACGAATGTAATCCACATAAGCCTGATTCACGGAACCCGGCTCCGCCCCCCCCCCCCCCCGTTCCGCCGCCTATGGGCATATGACATATCGATGGCCACACTCCAACCCCACACACCGCGCCAACGCCGCACGGGCCTTGACGCCGCAGCAGGGCCCGCCGCCGCCGCCGCCGCACCACGCACGCATTACGCAAGCGCTGGGAGAGTTTAACCCGCGCCCTGCTGTGTTTGAACACCCCCCCTCGTGGTTTTTCGCGAATATCTAAAAAACGGCGGCGCGGAGCGCCGCCGTTTTTGGTACACCTTATCATACATCAATTCTACACATGTTGTCAAAATTTCAGACCAAGGTCATTCAAGGTCAGGTCACCAGGTCACTTGAAGTGACCTCACCTCATAAAAAATTTCAATGTCTGTCATAGCTACACCGAGTGACCGATCGCTTTGAAACTTTCAGCGATTGCTAAGAGCAATAGCATGTACAAAATGTATATCTCAGAATTTTGATATCGATGACCTAAGGTCAGGTCAATTTTGCGACCTCCCCATTATAAGTCAATGGGAGAAAATTGAAATGCGTCTCTTTTGGATGAAAGACATTATAAACACTTCCAAACACCGAATTACAAGTGGTTTAGACACACTGAACTTGAAAATGGTGTCCGTGACCCTTGTTTATGCCCTGAGGTCATCTTAGGTCACGAATGGTATCTAACAGTTTTTCGCAAATAACTTTTGATAGAGGCATGCTAGAGCGATGAAAACGCCTTAGATGTGTTCAGCTCGACGATACGGATCGACTGATATGCAACATGACCCTTTCCGGTCAGGTCATGACCTTGACCTGAGGTCAAATTTTCAAGTTGACCTTTCAAGGTCAAGTCATAGTTCATTCGATGCGTCTTGACAAGAGGAACACGATGCCGGTAAAAGTAAGCTCGTACAAGGCTTGGGTCAAAAGTTATTGCAGAAAAACTGTTTTCGAAAAAATCGGCTATTTTTGCAGTTTTTGCCCCCTGCAGGCAAAACCGTTGACGTTAGGTCAAATCTGAGAGAATTACTCAGAAAGGGCGTTAATAGGGCTATCGAATGCGCTTTTCCGCAGCGCTGTAGCTCTATTGGTTCCCGAGTTATGCGTTGGCTTCTTGGAAAATTTCGACATTCGACCTGGAAATCGGCGAAATTTTGCCTTCAATGACCTCTGGTGACCTGACCTTTGACCTGACCAAAAAATTGACCGAAGTGATTTCGTCATTATTTTTTACGCTCTTTCGAACGCCGCCTTCCGCGTATCGCTACGTGGCCCAGGAGCCGAGTTACAAGGGGGGGTGTTCAAACACCCCCCCCCCCCCCAGCAGGGCGTGGAAATCCAGGACCCCCAGCAGGGCGCGGGTTAATAGATGGCGACACGCTCGTCCCCCACGGGCAGCACACGCGCAACGTGCCGCACCGGCCGCCCAAACATGGCGCCTTCATTTGCTTCCAAATCATACAATTTCCTGTTCTTGAGACCTTTCTTCGTATTTGAAGAAAATCCTTCAGATATACGAAAAACGTCGCAAGAAATAGCCACTATTATTCGGATAATTCTCAGCTGTTATTTATCAAGTCTCAATATTTGGCAGCCGAAGAAAACAAAGGGCTCGACAAAAACACCACTTTCTCCGACTGCCAATAAGAGCGATATTTGGTTATGAACTGGTAGGGAAACAGACCTAATAGGCACAGGGCTGCTTCTGACCGGATCAGACCAGCTCTGACTAGGGTGAAAGTGGAGAAATGGTATAAAACTGTGATCACTAAATTGTTATTCGTGCTGTTCCTACTTGCTAGTCTATGACATAGGTGCATGAATGTAGCAAAACAATGTTGGCTTTGCTAATCTTAGAATGTCTTCCGTGATATTTTCTTCTTTTTGTGCTTTTTGCTCGTTTATTTTTCTCTGACTGGGATCAGATGGTCAGAGATTTTGTCGAGCTCTGGGTCTTCGCCCGAGGGCAAGAACCAGCCGATGGCGAAAAGCTGGCAGCGCTTCGAAGTGTTCAATGGGCTTCAAAGTGTTCATCCCGTACCAATAAATGTCGCTAAATATGCTGCCGCTCAAAAGAAAATTAAAGTTTAATAAATCACACACGCGTGGATTAATATTGCCCGTGGTCATGGTGTCATTTACAATGATAGGCTATCCCCCAGAAAAAATGTCATGTGGAAATTGCGGT